TAATTTGAATACTGCTACATTCCCCAAACATTCAGCTTTCATATGCATCTTTTGGATCCATTCAATCTATTATAGTTTCTGAAGAAAATCACTAAAATGTGAAAACACTGCTTTTTCGAGTGTTAACTTCAACTTTACACACGTATTACAGCCAAAGTGATGAAAACACGAAAATGCATGAATACTTGGTACAATCCTCAAACATTCAACTTTCATATGCATCTTTTGGATCTATTCTGTCTATTATAGTTTCTGAGAAAATCATGCTTATTCAAGTGTTAATATGCATCTTTTGGATCCATTCTATCTATTATAGTTTCTGAGAAAATCACTAAAATGTGAAAACACTGCTTTTTCGAGTGTTAACTTCAACTTTACACACGTATTACAAACAAACGAATGAAAACACAGAAATGTGAAAACACTGTTTTTCGAGTGTTAACTTCAACTTTACACACGTATTACAGCCAAACGGATGAAATCACAGAAATGCATGAATACTTGCTGGATTCCCCAAACATGCAGCTTTCATATGCATCTATTGGCTTCATTAGGATTCATAGGATTCATTCTATCTATTATAGAAAATCACTAAAATGTGAAAATCGATGGTTAAAAATCAATTAATTAGTTGTGATAACGTAAATTTGGACTGATTATATTTGATATGTATAAGATAGCTGATGGACATTTATAATATAATTAATGTTAATATTATTTCATGGGTGTGTTTGTTTTCAATGTCATTCGGAAATAATAAATCTGTTGCGTGAAGAATGTAGGAAATTCCTGTCGCACTGGACAACAACGTATTGAAAAGGGAAAAATTTGAATATGATGATTAGAAATAGTAATAGTATCGTATGTATTCATATTTGTCACCTCGCGGAATGCAAGCACATTTATGATATTATTATCAGCAATTTAAATATGAACGTGACTCGCCTACCATTCAACCATTCGCATTGTTCTTCGGTGTCAGGTGTTTTAGTACAATTGTACGAGGATGTGTGTGCTTGAAGTTCAATGGGTTAAGGAGACATCAATGAGTTAAGATAGATTCATTTACATAATTTATTAATTAAAGATAAATACTACATATTCTAGTGTAATTGTATAATATTGAGCATCCGTTAATATACAAATATAAAACCTAGGCGTTCAAGTGGTAGAAATAATCTACTAAATATTTTTTTTTCTTTTCCCATTTGTATATAAATCTTAATAATATATATATAAAAAAATGTATATAACTAGTATATAGAGCTTTAACATTTCTGCCAGTCAAACAACCCAGGTACGGCCGTCGGGATACGCAATACAAAATTAAAAAATATATAAAAGAGCACTAATTAAAAAAAAAAAAACAATAAAATCCAACCGTCTGATTATCGTTATATATATATATATAAAAAAAAAAGAATATTCAAATGGCGTAAATCGCAAAAGGTTCTCGAAAATTTCTTGTATATCAGTCGTACATAACAAATTTTCCTTTTGTCTTACAGTATTTTATCATTTTTTTTTTGTCGCTAATTTATCCGTTTTATTTACTTTTTTCATAGTTTTTTTTTTTTCAATTCATTAATAATATAAATATCTAGTATACGCAAGAATCACTGCGCGTGTTTTTTTTTTTCCACGAAATACATGCACACGAAATCAAAATCAATTAATTCAAATAGTAGTTGCAGTTGTTGTTGTTGTTGATGTAGTAGTAGTAATAGTAGTAATAGTAGTGTAAAGAGAAGAGACGTTATTTTTTTTTTTTTCATTGTTTTGAGTTTGGTGTCCCCGTTTAGAAGGCACGACAATATACCTAGTCTTAGTTTCATCATTTTGGCACCCGAGAATGCTTAACATTTAAGTTCAAGACTAATAGTCCTTTATATTATTATTTTATAAAAATTGTCTTTGTTATCACTCGCACTTGAAGTAAGTGTTGACTCGTGCATTGTCACTAATCCTCCTTTGAGGCTCATCTTCTCCTCCTGGACGCAGCTGCGGCGACTATTTGCCTGAGCATCGGTTCCGGGCTACACACTTTGGGATCACATTTCATTTGGCCATTACCTCCGCATCTGCAACAAACATAGGCAATCATCGATCAGTAAATCATTCAATTACGAAAATAGTTTGTCAAAATATTTCAAATTAGTTATACTTACACGCAGTGAAGGCAAGGTCCCGATGATGATGGAATGGTGTCTCCCACTTTGTATGATTGTCCTTGTACAAGACAACCTGTACGGGTGGCTTTACCCTTGTAGGCGTGTGACAAGAAATGTGGAGGTAGGGTGGTGGTTGTTGTCGTGGTCGTTGTGGTAATATTGAGAGTCGTTGCCATGTTAACTGGACATTCGTATCTCGGACAGCAGAATCCTCTGATCGGTTCTTCGTGGCAACGAGGAATTGGTGGAGGACAGCTCTGCTGTAAGCAGATGATGTCGCTTCTGAAGCAGAAGCAGAAATCGCACGGATCGTCTCTTGGAATTTGCTGAGCGGAAACGTAAACTTTTCCACCGTAACGGCAGGTGCCCGGACCGAACGATGTCGTATCGTCCTCGTAATCCTCGATTGGCGATTGATAGTCCGGCAATTCGGGTTTCTGTTCGTGACTAGGATGCGCTGTAGTTGATGTGGTTGTTCCAGGATAGAGTTCAGTCGGGTACTTTTCGGTTGCTGGATATTTCTCTTCGGATGGATGATGCACCTTCTCGGTGTGATCGTAATCCTCGTGGATAGGTTTTTCTGTTTCCATATCGGTAATTTGTTTTTCGGTAACGTGATCTTCGGCAGTCATTGTATGTTCTTCAATTTGAATTCCTTCTGTTACATGAACCTCCGACTCAATTGCTTTCTCAGTTTCCTGTTCCACGGCTTCCACTGGCTTCTCTGTGATATGCACTCCACCGTCTGTTGGAATATGTTCCGTTACCAAATGTTCAGCTTCTGTTGGAACATGTTCTGCTTCTTGGACTGTCGATTCCGTTGGAACATGCTCTGTTTTATCTTCGCCTTCTGGTTGCTGTTCTCCACTTTCGCTTGGTACGTGTTCTGGTTGTTCTTGTTCAGATTCAGTTAGTACATGTTCTTGTTCTACAGCTTCTGTCGGTACATGTTCTGAAGCTTCTGTTGGTACATGTTCTGGCTCTTTTTCTACTTCACCTTCAGACTCTGTAGGTACATGTTCATATTGTTCGCCTTCAGATTCTGTTGGTACATGTTCTGATTCTTGTTCTGGTGCTTCTGTTGGTACATGTTCAGCTTGTTCACCTTCAGTTACTGTTGGTACATGCTCTGGTTCTTTTTCTACTTCGCCTTCAGATCCTGTAGGTACATGTTCAGGTTGTTCGCCTTCAGATTCTGTTGGTACATGTTCTGGTTCTTTTTCTACTTCACCTTCAGATTCTGTAGGTACATGTTCAGATTGTTCACTTTCAGATTCTGTTGGTACATGTTCTGGTTCTTGTTCTGGTGCTTCTGTTGGTACATGTTCAGGTTGTTCGCCTTCAGATTCTGTTGGTACATGTTCTGGTTCTTTTTCTACTTCACCTTCAGATTCTGTTGGTACATGTTCTGGTTCTTGTTCTGGTGCTTCTGTTGGTACATGTTCAGGTTGTTCGCCTTCAGATTCTGTTGGTACATGTTCTGGTTCTTTTTCTACTTCACCTTCAGATTCTGTTGGT